CTTGGATTTTGCTGTGTCCTGAAGTTTTGTTATCCTGTCCCAGGTGTGCACTACGTGTTTGACACGACTTTTTCCAGGAATTTCAGCCTCTTGGAGAGCCAACAGGAATTTGTGAGACGTTTCCACAGACAAGCAAATGACAAAAAAGCTCTGCCCATGTTGGCCTCTGCCTGCCCAGGTATGGTTTCAGTGGCAGCTGAAATCACAAATGCACAATTGTTCTCACACATCTTGCTGTTAAAACAGCACTGAGACATCTTCAAATCGAGAAGATTTGATCTTCTGCTCTTCCACTTCGTTTTTTTTGTTTTTTTTTTTTTGTGCTGAACTGAGGCTGAAAATGATTATTATTAATGAGCACTAAACTAAAGCCCACTAATGGGGTTTGGAGAGAATGGGCAGAGTGAAGATCTGTTTGTTCATTTTTTAATTTGGTCATTATGTTCTTTGCAGGTTGGATCTGCTATGCAGAGAAAACCCATGGCAGCTTCATCATTCCCCACATCAGCACCACCAAATCCCCCCAGCAGGTCATGGGCTCCTTGGTCAAGGGTTACTTTGCAGAGCAGAAGGTAAAAATGCTTTTTTTACTGCAAAATTCAACACTTTAGGCTCATTTTTTAAAAAAAATGTTGCTGTGTTATCCACATTCAAGGGTCAATATTGCCTTGCAGAAGGCAGCAAAACTTCCTCACTTCTGTCTTAGCTAATGAGCTGTAATTAGGGTAGAACATTAAGCATGGGCTAATTAAATTAAAGCCTCTGAAATATTTGGGAAAGTTGAGGAACTTTCTTTTCAGTATCTTTGTGCTCCAGTTGTTTTAAATTGGTGAATAATTCCAGAGGAGTGACCCCAGCCAAGGCTGCAGTGGGTGCAGATCGTGGCTTCTCCAAAAATGATCCCTAAATTCCCATCTTGATGTTCTGCTGCTGTCCTTAGCCTGTCACCTCTGGAATGTTCCTGTCAAGAATCCTAGAAAAGGATTCTTTTTTTTTTTTCCTCTTCCAGTCCTGTGCAGGACCATAACTGCTGCCCCTGACTGCAGCTGAAATCAGCTCCTAGGAGAGAAACCATTTCATTTATGCACAAATGAACAATATATATATATATTCTATATTATTATTATAATTATATAAATATATAACCATACAAACACCCAGTAATGGTGGGGATTATTCCAGGGGCACTGTGACATTATTTCCCCCCTTCTCCTTTGCTCCTGGGATGCTCTCCCTGAGCTCAGGGACATTTTGGCTGCTCCAGCTGCCCCAGCCTTGTCTCTCCTGCAGCAGCTGCCCCCTGACAGGATCTACCACGTCACAGTCATGCCCTGCTATGACAAAAAGCTGGAGGCCTCCAGGCCAGACTTTTTCAACCAGGAATACCAGACCAGGGATGTGGATTGTGTCATCACCACAGGTAAGCAGAGCCACGGGGGATTCCCAATTCCAGCTAATTCTGGGAGCCTTGCCCTGGCTTTAATAACCCTTTGTTTCTGACAGAGGTTGGATATTGATCTGTATTCACATTTAACAGTGCAAACCATGCCCTGGTAAAATGCAGGTGCAGTTTAGGGATTGCTCTGTGGGGTTTGTTTACCTGTATCCCAAAAATAAGAATTCTTTGTGCCTGGTTCTGCTCTAGGAGAAGTGCTAAAGCTGCTGGAGCAAGAAGGAGTGTCCCTGTCAGATATGGATCCTGCTCCCCTGGACAACTTGTAAGAACAAAATCCCATTTCTGTCATGTTCCCTTTCCTCCAGGATTCTGAGAGTTCAGAATTCCCTTTCCCTGTTCCCTTTCCTCCAGAATTTAGAGAATTCAGAATTTCCCTGTTCCCTTTCCTCCATGATTCAGAGTTCAGAATTCCCCTTTTCCTGCTGTTTTACACAAGTGTGTTTGCCCTTGGTTTGGTTTCTTGTGTCACTTGAACCAGAACAATTGGGAGTTAAAATATTTAATGTACAGAATATAGTGAATTTCCACTGGATCACTCCAGCTCCTTTCATCCCACAAAAAGCTTCTGCAGGCTTTGGGAAGGACAAAAATCTGTCCCAGTGATAAAAATGTCCTGAAGCAAAAACTGCTGCTCCTCCTCATCAGAGCCACTGCAAAGATCCCAGAATTAAAGCAGAAATAATAAATAATTAGGACACTGAGTTAATCTGCAGAAGACTGTCAGTGAGAAATGCCATTGAAGTGGTGTCCGATGGGACTGGGCTTGTTGGGGTGGGCTGGGATCACATTTTGGGGTCAGAGGTGACAGCAGGGCTGGTTCTGCCCTGAGCACCCAGAGCTGTCTTTGCTTCAGGGCAAGGGCAACAAAGCTTCAGCAGCACCTCCCTGAATTCTACAGGGTGATTAATTAGAGATTAATTAGCGAATCACAGAATGGGTTGGGTGGGAAGGACTTTAAAAATCATCCAACCCCAACACTTTGCACTATCCCAGGCTGCTCCAAGGGACAGCCACACCCTGTGCCGGGTGACACAATTGCCTGGAGTTATCAGGACAAAGGGAAAAGCTTCGTGGCTGTTCCCTGGAGCTTTGTGTGACCCCCCCCCAAATCCCCTGACCCTGCTGCTCTGCCCTCCCCAGGCTCGGCGGGGCCGCGGGGGAGCTCAGCACCCACCCCGGGGGGGGCTCGGGGGGGTACCTGGAGCACATCTTCAAACGCTCAGCCCTGGAACTCTTCGGCATCCACGTGGACTCCATCCACTACAAACCTCTCAAGTAAGAAGCTGAAATCTCTACAGAATTCAAATTCCCACAGAAAAGTCAAAATTTTCTGCAGTTCTCTCCTTACCGAGGGGCTGAAAGTTGGTGGGGGAAATTTTTTGGTTTGTTTATTTGGGGTTTTTTTGGTTTTTTGTTGGTTTTTTTTTTTTTTTAATCTTCACTTCCAGGCTCACAGTTGGTTGCTCCCTCCCTGCTGAGCAATCAATCAGCCAATTCCATGCAGCCAGGGAGAATTCCAGGGAAAATTTCCCAGGGAGGATTCCAGCCCCTTCCCCACCCACACCCTGAAGTTTGGCCTTTTTTAGGCAATTTTTAGATAATTTTTAGAAGAATTCCAAAATTTTAGAGTAATTGAGAAGGCAGAGCTGGGATTCCTCACTGTTGGATCAGGCCAATCCAAATTTGTCACTAATTGTTGATCCCAGCTTGTGGGAGGTCTCTGGGGCTTTGTTTAGTGGAACAGAAAATAAATCAGTACTGAAGCTCATCCACTGAGATTCCTTCTGGCCTCCCAGTTCTAATTTAATGTATCCTTTGGAATTAATTTTATCCCTAATGAGCAATTTTTATGTTTAGGATTCCCTGGTTTAGGAAGCAGAAAAAAAAGAGTCTCAAAAACTTGATAAAAATCAAATTAATTACTTTTTTATCAGGACCAGGTATTCCCACTAACCTCAGAAATCTGGAATCCTCACTCAGGGTTTGTTCCTATGTTTTGTGATTCAGTAGAAATTAAAAATCCCCTCAGCTCCATTCCTGTTGGCTGAAGGAGCTCAGGCTGAACTTTTCAGGCTTTACCCAGCACAGATATCCTTCAGCAAACTGCTCAGGTGGCTCCAAAAATCCTGGAAGGTTCTGGAAAGAATTCCTATTTTCCTTGCATGGCCCAAAACTAGGACAGCTCTTCAATGAGACTCACAAACAATTCGGGTTTTGAACACTTTGAAGTTTTAAAATAGAAACTCATTTGGAGAAACCATTTCTTGTGCTCTGCTCCTTTAGGAACAAAGACTTACAGGAGGTGACCCTGGAGAGGGATGGGGAGGTGCTGCTCCACTTTGCCCTGGCCTATGGATTCAGGAACATCCAGAACCTGGTGCAGAAGCTGAAAAGAGGGAAGTGCCCCTATCACTACGTGGAGGTCATGGCCTGTCCCTCAGGTGAGGCAAATCCAGCTCCAGGCAATTCCAGGCAGGAAAAATGGGAGATTTCTCACACCCTTGGAGGGGATTTTCCTACATCTGAGCTAGTAATCCCTCAGGATTTAAGGAATTGTAGCTGAATCCCATCACACAAAATTTCCATAATTATTAATTAATTGCTTTTAAGGAGGATTTCCTGAGCTCTTTGGTACTTGAAGAGATTTTCCCCTCAAAATTGCTCAAACCTGATAATTAGGCATTAAAAAAAATGCTGCTGTGGCTGGTGGAGAAAATAAATTCCTGAATATTTTGTTCCATTTTCCTTGGGAAGGAGCAGGGGCAGCCTGAACCCACTGAGGGTCCACCCCTGCCTGCTGGAGCTGCTCCTTCCCAAGGATCCACACAGCTCTGGGAGCCTCCCAGTGCTCCCAGAACACATCCCAGGCACTTCTGCCTCTCCTCCAGGGCTGCACTGGGCTCTGGCTCCGTTCTGGGGGCAGGAGATAAGAGCTGGAGCCAGCCCAGCTTCTCCTGCTGCTGGGAGATAACTGGGAGTGAACCTCCACTGCTGAGGTGTTTTCATTCCTGCAGCAGAATACATGAACTGAAATTTTTTAGGATTTCCCAGCTGAAATTTTCATCCTTTTTTTTTTTCCTTTTTTCCCCCCAGGCTGTCTGAATGGAGGAGGGCAGATCAAACTGGAAGGGGAATCCAGCAAGGAGGAACTGCAGCAGGTGGAGAGGCTCTATGAATCCCTGAGGGCTGAGATTCCAGAGGAAAACCAGGCTGTGAGGGAGCTCTACCAGCACTGGCTGGGGGGCTGGGGCTCAGAGAGGGCTCAGGCAGTGCTGCACACACAGTACCACGCTGTGGAGAGAACAAACTCTGCCCTCAACATCAAATGGTGAGGGCTGGCCAGCCCAGCACATCCTCAGTGCCTTCTGAACTCTCATCCCTGACCCTCCAAGGGCTCTGTGCAATTCCTGCCTCTGGGAATGTGCCTGGCACTGCTCAATCCTTCAGCTGGAGCTGTTGGGATTGAAGCCCAAAGTCTGACAGGAGACACAGCAAGAGAGGCAGAAATGCAGCCCAGGCTGGTGGGACAGAGCCTGCCCTGCTCCTGCAGCCCCATTCCTGCCAGAGCTGAGCAAAACCCGAATTTGGATTCCTCCCCCAGGCCTTGCTGGATTGTCCCAGCACTCGGTGCCCTGCTGGAGCATCCTCATTTCCTTAGGAATGGCCTCAGCAGGCCTGGAGCCCTCACATGTCACTGCCCCACGGGGTCTGGGCCCCTGGGGCTGCTGCAAGGGCACTGCAGTGAGTGCTGGACAAAACTTGGGATTCCTTTTCCCGAAATTATAATAATTTATACCCAGGCCAAGTATTTCTCTCTCTTTTCTTCCTAAACACACAGCAGGGAGTCATGGAATTGTCACATTTAGCCACCCTCAGCAGCCACTTAATGAGGACTAATATCCCAAATTCCAGACAAAACAGGCACTTAGTGATGGATAACATCCCAAAATTACCATCAAATAATTCCTGACCTCAGGGCTGGCAGGAACCAAAGCCTCCTCTGCACTTTATTCCAATGATTCCACGGAGCAAAATGTGATTTTCAGATTTTTAATTAAAAGCTTTCCATTTTTCAGCTGCTGCTGATCATTAATGACCTCACAGTGTTCTAAGGCATCAACCCCCCTCCCTGCTGCCCCCTCCCCACCTTCCTGAGGAGCAAATTGGTGCTTCCAGAGAATTCCCTTCTCCAGGAAATCTGGGCAGGGAGAGGCTCCAGCCTGCAATCAGTCAGTGGCTGCTGAGCACAAGCACATCAGCCCAGAAATGCACAATCAGTGAAGCTAAATCAGCTGGAAATGACCAGGACTCTACCCTTGGTCACTGAAGCCACCCAGGGATCCCTGCTCTGGCACCAGGAACAGCTGGAATTTGTCCCAGGATAAATAAAATTTCCAAAGGAACATGCAGGGGGACATCCACAGCTCCAGCATTTCATGGAAACTGAGGAATTCAGGCCATGGTACCAAGGGAGATTTTGTAGCTGGAGAAATCCTTCCCCTTCCATGCAAGGAAGGAAATCCAAACTAGAACTGAATAAAAGGTAAAAAAGAAAAATTTGGTCCAGTTTGTAGCACAGGAAAAAGTCCCAAACCAGACTCCAGTGGCAACAAAGAAGTTCACAGTCCACAAAGGAAAATCCCTGAAATCAACTCTCTCCCAGTGCTGGGAGCTGCCAACAAACTCTCATTTTCCCCACAAAAATTAAAAAAAAAAAAAAAAGTAATTACTTCATTGATGTAAAGTGCTTCCCCACACCTGCAAATAAAACTCTGCTCTTTTCTCAGACTTAAAAAAAAAAATAATAAATAAAACACAGCCCTGATTTTGCAGAAAGTGAAGGCTGGGGAGCCCCAGCTGCTCCCTGGCTCTCGAGGACAAGGCAATGTCCATGGAAATGGCACCAAGAGTTTTCCAGTTTTTATCTTGGAAAAAGCAAAAAAAGCAAAGGATGCCTGGCAGCATTTTGTTCTTGGCTGCCTAAAATCTGTCCCACTTTGGGAAATCCCTCCTGGGACAGAGCCTGGGCTCCACCTGGACACCCCAAATGGTGCAAGGCTGGCTCCCAAATCCTTACACGAATCCCTGTGGGACCTACTGGAAAAACTGGGGAAAAAAAAAAGGGGGAAAAAACCTCACCCAGAGCCTGTGTGATGAGGGGTTTGTTAGCACAGGGCTGGAGTTGGGTGGGCACTGGTGACTTCCCAGTTTGCAGTGGGGATCCAGGTGTCCATCCCCAGCCTGGGAGGGGCCCGGGGTGGCAGGGGCAGGACAGGCAGGGCCAGGGGGACTCCCAGAGCAGCCCCATGGGACACAGCACCCCCATCCCTGAGCATCCTCGTTTGTCCCTGGCTCCCTTCCACAGCCACATGGACATCCCATGATCCCAAAAACTGGGAGTGTCCCCTGCTCCGGGTCACATCCTGACCCTCTGCCAGCACCCCCAGCCCCAAGGGGGGTCCCCACGGCCGGGGGTCCCCAAAGGGATCCAGGGAATCCCAGGAGCCAGAGCAGAGCAGCCTCACACAAGCAGCAAGGAGACAAAATCCAAAATCTGGGAGCAAATCCGAGCTGGGCACAAGGCAGGAGGGAGCCCCTGGCAGCACGGGGATGTCACTTTGTCACTTCTTTGTCACTTCTTTGTCACTTCTTCTCCAGGAAAGGAGCGAAGAGCCCCCAGTCGAAGGCCAGCATGGCCTGGGGGTTGGGTCTCTCCTTGGGCTTCTTGAAGTTGTCCCTCTGGGAGCGCAGCACCCTCAGCACCTCCACGGGCTCTGTCCTGCCTGTGAACCTCTGCACCGGCTCCTCCCTGCAGGGGGACAGCCCTGCTGGCTCCTGGGGACAGCACGGGACCCCCAGACTCACCCCCAGGGGGGGAGGCCCACCCTGGGCTGGGGTGACCCCCCCATGCCCAGGCAGCTCCTCTCACTCCAGGCTGGGATTTCCCAGCAGTTCATGGGGAAAAGGGGCAGGTTTGGGGCAGCAGAGTTTGGGAGGAAGGGAAGAGGGGCAGGTTTGGGGCAGCAGGGTTTAAAAGGAAGGGAAGAGGAGCAGGTTTGGGGCAGCAGGGCTTACGTGACCCGCAGGAAGGGGTTGTACAGGAACTCCTCCTGCAGCGTGGAGGGCACTGTGGGCAGGTCGTCGTCGTCGCGCTGCTGCCGAGGGAGCAGAGGTGTCCAAACCCCGCTGCCACCCCCACAGCCCAGCCCCACCCCGGCACAGGGGGCACGGCCACTGACCTTGGCCCATGCCAGCTTCTCCTTCACCATTTCATTGTCCGGCTCCACCTTCAGGGCGAATTTGAGGTTTCTGACGGTGCATTCGTGGCCACAGAAAATCTTCTGCGGGAGGCAGCCGGTGTCAAACCCGCTGCCAGTGCCAGGTGCCAGCCCGGGATCCCTGCCCTGAGCCCCCTCCCGGCCCCAGGAGCCCCCCAGGCCGGGAGGGGAGGGGAGGGACACTCACCGTGTCCTTGGGCAGAGTGCCCAGGGTCTGGGTGAGGTTGGTGTGCATCTGCTCTGCCGTGCCCTCGAAGAACTGCCCGCAGCCCCCCACGAACAGGGTGTCACCTGTGGGACAGGGGCTGGCACCAGGGACACCGGGGATGGGGTGCTGGGCTCACCCAGGGTGGGGGACAGGCAGTGCGTCCCCAAAAGCCATGAAGGGCACGTGGGCAGGGGGGATACCTGAGAAAAGAGCCGGAGCATCCGGGGAATCGTCCTCCCACATGAAGTAGCACATGTGGCCCGAGGTGTGGCACGGGGTGAAGAGACACCTCACCCTGATGGCCCCAAACTGGGGGGACAGAGGGTCAGGGTCTCACTGAGGGGGACAAACAGACCCCCTGATGCCCTGCCTGGGGCCCAGCAGGTGACACATCTGGTGGGGTTTGGGGTGGGCCTGCTCTGATGGCATTTGGGACCTGCCAGCACAACCCCAAACCGGCTGGGATTGGGATGAGGCTCCTTGAATCTGTGGGGTCACATCTGCAAACAGCCCTGGGCACAAAGAGCCAAGCATGGCCCAGCAGCACCAACCCTGCTGGGGACATTGGGGACAGTGTGACCACCCCACTGGGGACAGTGTGACCACCCCACTGGGGACAGTGTGACCACCCCACTCTGCTCCCCACGGTGCCACCCCATTGGGGACCCCAGCACGGCCCCACCCCAACAGGCAGGGCCCCTGTGTGGGGTGTGTGTCCCCAATGTCCCCCCAGCCCTGCAGCCACGCACCGTGAGCTCCTGGCCGTGGGTGACCTTGTGTGTGAGGGCCCCGATTCTCTCGTCAGCACCGAACACCTGCAGGCCCGGGAGGAGCTGGGCCAGCTCCTCATTGCCCCTGGCGTGGTCCCTGAGGGCACAGCAGGGCTTGGGAATGGCCCCGACCCCGAGGGGACACGGCCACCACCCCCGTCCCCGAGCTGGCCACACTCACCAGTGGTGGTGGGTGGTGAGGATGGCCCTGAGCACCACGTCCTCCTTCCTGATGATCTCCAGCAGCTGGAAGGGACCAGAGCAGTGGGGAGGGGACACAGGAGGTGACACACACACACACACACACACACAGAGTGACCTGTCCCCTGTGACACCGGGCAGGTGACAAAACCCCAAAACCGGGCATTGAGGAGCCACAGGCTGAGGGTGGGACAAAGGAGTGACCCCGAGTGGAGCAGGGGGATGGCACCATGGGGATGGCACGGGGACAAAGGAGTGACCCCGAGTGGAGCAGGGGGATGGCACCATGGGGACGGTGGCATTTTTGGCCGGTGTTTCCTTAGGGAAGGCACAGAGGACAGCACGGAGCCACAGCAGGGACACGGTGGCCCTTGTGCCACCCACCCTGGCCACAGGGCACTGCCAAGCCCGGCACGGCTGCCAGGAGGCTCCGGATGCCAATTTAACATTCAGGAACAAACCCTGGGCTGCTCCGAGAGGAAGGAAATGCCCAAGGCGGCACCGAACGCCCAAAACCCGCGACAGCGCCCAGGGGGTGGCACAGGGGACACCGGGCACAGGGACACGGGGCCATCCCGGCTCCTGGAAAACGGGATTGGGCTGCGGATCCGTGTGGGGTTATCCCTGCTGGCTGTGGGGTCTGCAGGGAGCCCCGCACAGCCCGGACAGGGGGGTCCGCACCCCGCATCCCATCGGGATGTGGGGCTCTGAATCCTGTATCCCATCGGGATGTGGGGCTCTGAATCCTGTATCC